TAAAGGCCTCACTAAAGTCCATGCAGACAACGTCTATGCTCTGTCCTCATCTATCTTCTTGGTCACATCCTCAAAAAACTCGAAACATGATATCCCACACACAAAGCCACGTTGACTATCCCTAATCCAAATGCATGTAAATCGTATCTCTCAGAATCCCCTCCACTGATGTCAGAAGCACCAATCTGTAGTCCCCAGGATTCTCCTTACAGCCTTTCTTAAATAATGGCACCACATTAGCCACCCTCCAGTCCTCTGGCACCTCACCTGTGGCTGTAGATGATGGATATCCCTGCTAGGGGCCCTGCAATTTCCTCCCTATCTAGGGGTTCAGGTACACGGTTCATTGAGTCATAGAGTCCCACAGCACAGAAATTGACCCTTTGGTCCAATCAGTCCATGCAGAACATAATCCCAAACTAAACTAGTCCCATCTGCCTGCTCCTGGCCCATATCCCTCCAAACCTTTCCTAATCATGTACTTATCCAAATGTCATAGCCGCATCCACCACTTCCTCAGGAAGTTCATTCCATGTGAACTAACCTATGTGTAAAAAAATTTGCCTCTCATGTCTTTTTTAAAAGTGTGCTCCCTGGTCTTGAAATCTCCATTCCTTGGGAAAAGACAACCACCATTAACTCTATGTATAACCCTCATTATTTTATAAACTTCTATCAGGTCACCTTTCAACCTCCTATGCTCTATTGGGAAAAGTCCCAGCCTACCCAGCCTTTCTTTATAACTCAACCTTTCCACACCCAGCAACATCCTGGTAAATCTCTTCTGAACCCTTTCCAGCTTAATAATATCCTTCCTATAACTGGGCGACCATAACTGGACACAGTATTCCAGAAGATGCCTCACCAACATCCTGTACAACCTCAACATGGCTTCCCAACTCCTGTACTCAAAGGACTGAGCAATGAAGGCAAGCATGCCCTTAGAAATAGCATCACAGGACAATGGGGTGGTTAAGAAGGCGTTTAGCATGCTTGGCTTCATTGCTCAGACTATTGTGTATAATAGTTGGTGTGTCATGTAGCAGCTGTACAGGACATTGGTGAGGCAACTTTTGGAGTACTGTGTACAATTCTGGTCACCCTGCCACAGGAAGGATATTATTAAGTTGGAGAAGTTTCAGAAAAGATTTTGCAGGATGTTGCTGGGACTGGAGGGTTTGAGTTATAAGGATAGACCGGATAGGTTGGGGCTATTTTCACTGGAGCGCAGGGTTGAGAGGTGACCTTATAGAGGTTTTTAAAATCATGAGGGGCAAAGATAAGGTGAATAGCTAGGGTCTTTTCCCTAGGGTAGAGGGCATAATTTTAAGGTGAGGAGAAAGATTTAAAAGGGACCTGAGGGGCAACTTTTTCACACGGAGTATGTTTTGTGTGTGGAATGAACTGCCAGAGGAAGTGGTAGATGCAGCTACAGTTACAAAGTTTAAAAGATTTTTGGACAAATACAATATGAAGGGTTTAGAGGGATATGGGCCAAATGCAGACAAATGGAACTAGTTTAGTTTGGGAAACCTGGCCAGCATGGATGAGTTGGAGCGAAGAGTCTGTTTCCATGCCGTATGACTCTATTGTTAAGTATGTAACTCAATTTCTTCAGCAACTCAGGTAAGTGGCATGTAGCGGTGCAGAATTGGAATATCCTAAGATTCATTTGATATTCAGTGAGCTGGTCCCAAAGTTGGGTCAGGGACAAAACACCACTGTAGGATTGAGAGATGTGTTCTTAAATCATTGTTAGGGATGTGTGTGCACCGCGAGTGAGGATGTCAGGTGGGGTACTCCTTCCATGGTTGAATAGCCTATCCATTGCCCGGCCAACACAAGAAGAAGGGTGAGGTGCTTGGGTGAAGTGGTTGTTAGTTTGGAAGGTGCTGTTGAAGGAGCCTTGGTGAATGGTTGCTGGGATCCTGTTGATCCAGTGGTAACTCAATGGCATTAGTATTGCTGAATTACCCATCGTAACATCCTGGGGCTTACCATAGGGGAGGCAATGGTCTAGTGCTATTTTCACTAGACTGTTAATCCAGAAATTTAGCTAACATTCTGGGGATCTGGGTTCAAATCCTGCCATGGCATATGGTGGAATTTGAATTCAATAAAAATCTGGAATCAAGAGTCTGATGATGACCATGAATCCATTGCTGATTGGAATGGGAAAACCCATCTGGTTCATTAATGCCCTTTAGCGAAGGAAACTGCCATCCTTACCTGGCCTGGCCTACATGTGACTCCAGACCCACAGAAATGTGGTTGACTCTTAACTGCCCTCTGGGCAATTAGGGAGGGGCAATAAATGCAGGCCCAGTCAACTATGCCCTCATCCCTTGAATGAATTTTAAAAAAGCTGAACTATACCAACAATTTAGAGACCAGGAATTCTATGGTAAGTATCTCACCTCCTACCTCCCCAAAGCCTCTCCAAATCTAGAAGGCACAATGATGGAATACTCCCCACTTACCTGATGGGTGCAGCCCCAACAACACTCAAAGACCTTGACACCATCCAGGACAAAGCAGCCGCTTGATTGGCACCACATCTGCAAACATCCATTATATGCCCAGTAACAGCAGTGTGTACTATCTACAAAACGCACTGCAGAAATTCACCAAAGATCCTTAAACAACATCTTCCAAACCCACGACCACTCCCATCTATAAGGATGAGGGCAGCAGCTACATGGGAACACCACCCCTTGCAAGTCACTCACCATCCTGACTTGGAAATATATCGCCGTTCCTTCACAGTTGTTGGGTCAAAATCCTGGAATTCCCTCCCCAACAGCATTGTGAGTCAACCCACAGCACGTGGACTGCCATGGTTCAAGAAGGCAGCTCACTATCACCTTCACAAAGGCAATGAGAGACAGGCAATAAATGCTGGTCCAGCTAGCGATGTTCACATCCAATGAGTGAATGATAAAAGACTAAGGCTGCAGTTGGCTTGTTAGGTGGACGTAAAATACCCCACATCTCTATCTGAGAAAGACAATAAGATTTCCATGTGTTGGAGGCTGAGGGGTGACCTTATAGAGGTTTATAAAATCATGAGGGGCATAGATATGATGAATAGCCAAAGTCTTTTCGTTAGGGTGGGCGAATCCAAAATTAGAGGGCGTACGTTTAAGGTGAGAGGGGAAGGATTTAAAAGGGATCTAAGGGGCAACTTTTTCACACAGAGGGTGGTGCGTGTATGGAATGAGCTGCCAGAGGAAGTGGTGGAGGTTGGTACAACATTTAAAAGGCACCTGGATGGGTACATGAATAGGAAGGTTTAAGGAGAATATGGGCCAAATGCTGACAAATGGGACTAGGTCAGTTTAGATTATTTGGTCGGTGTGGCCGAGTTGGACCAAAGGATCTGTTTCTGTGCTGTACAACTCTATGATTTTATGTCTATCTCTCAAACAGTGTCACCAAAACCATTCTTTGTTCCTTGTCTCATTTCTATTTATGGAATCTCCCTGTGCGGAAATCTGGCTGCTGTGTTTCCTTCATTCTGATAGACACTTCGGAAGTCCCCCGCTCAGTGCAAAGCTCTTTGGGATGTGCAGTTGTGTGAGATGCTATGGAAATGCAGGTGCAATATGTTTGTACAGGGACACTGTTTTAGGGCTGTGTTTGACACTAATTGTGTTGAAATGGATCTTTTTAGCTTCTACTTCTATGTGTTCAGTGTGTCCCTGAGGTATTAAATAAATATAAACCAGTAATTCACTCTGCAAGCCAAGACAGTTTTAATGTGAACAGACCTCCAGAAGGGAGACTGGACCAGTGTAGTGAATCCTCCAAAGTAGCGTTTAAGTTGTGTGGCTCCTGATAATTCATATTTAATTAATTGTTTTAAATTCACTCATTGGATGTAGGTGTCGCTGGCTGGGTCAGCATTTATTGCCTGTTCTTTGCTGCCCCTTGAGAGGGTGGGGGTGAGCTGCCTTCTTGAACTGCTGTAGCTCACCTGGTTGACCCACAATGCCATTAGGGATGGAATTCCAAGATTCTGACCCAGCGATAGTGAAAGAACAGCAATATATTTCCAAGTCAGGTTGGTGAGTGCCTTGGAGGGGAACTTTCAGTGGGTGGTGTTCCCATATGTCTGCTGTCCTTGTCCTTCTAGATGGAAGTAGTTGTGGGTTTGGAAGGTGCTGGATCTTTGGTGAATATCTGAAGTGCATCTTGTAGATAGTACAACCTGCTGTTACTGAGCGTCGGTGCTGGAAGGAGTGGATGCTTGTGGATGTGGTGCTAATTAAGCGGCTGCTTTGTCCTGGATGGTGTCGAGCTTCTTAAGTGTTGTTGGGGCTGCACCCATCCAGGCAAGTGGGGAGTATTCCACCACACTCCTGACTGGTGCCTTGTAGATGGTGGACAGGCTTTGGGGAGTCAGGAGGTGAGTTACACGCTGAAGTACTGCTAGCATTTGACCTACTCCTATAGCCACTGTGTTAAAGTGGCTGTTTCAGTTCAGCTTCTGGTAATTCAGTGGTAATCCTCAGGATGTTGAATTTTAACTTGCTAAGGAGACTCGTGGGATTCTCTCTCCTGCACTTCTTGTTGCCAGTTGGCCTTAGAATAGATCCCTGTTCTGTACTGAGTCAATGGCTTTCAGGAGGATAGTTGCCCTACAATTGACCTCAGTGCCATTAGAGTCTGGTGGGGGGAGGCGGATGGTGAGAGCTGACAATTGCTAGCCAATGAATTTCTCTTCGCTCAATTGAACAGGCAATGATAATACTGTGGTGGCTCAGGTGCGAGGCCTACTGTCGTGGAACAACCTATCAACCTTTTTGCACAGAATGGCTCAGGAGAGCAGCCAAATGCATAAAGTAACTTCCAGGAAGCTGTCGACTCTGGCAGTGTATTTCATGTCTCGAGGATTTGAGGAAGAAGGAGGGACAAGAACTAAAGAAATAAAAACTGCCCACAGAGGTTTGTTTTTTCAGGTTAACATGCATTTTATGGAACACAAACACGCACTTTGTGCACAAATTGTATTTTATTCTGTTTTATGTACAGCACATATTACAAGGCATGGTACAAACAGTGGATTTGATTAATTCTGCACCAGGGACTTCACAAGGAGGAATTAGGAGGAGCTGTCACAGAAACATCAATGTGACAAGGGAGTGTATACAACTGACCTTTCAGTGAAAGACTTGCATTTCTTTGGCGCCTTTCATAACCTCAGGATGTCCCGAATCGCAGCTCAGCCACTGAGGTATTTTCTTGAGGGGCGATCATTGTTGGAGTGTAGACAAAACGGCAGCCAATCTGTGCACAGCAAGATCCCACAAACAGCAATGTGGTAAATGACCAGATTGTCCTTTCTCTTTGGAGATTTTAAATTTGGTGGTGGTGGTGGTGGGCGGGGGGGTAATGTTGCCCTTCGCTTTGTCAGATAATGCTCCGGGATCTTTCCTGTCCAGCTGAGATGGGATCTCGGTTTAACAACCCAACTAGATGGCAGTACCTCTGAGCGTGCAGCACTCTCACACTGCACTGGGAGTCTCAGCCTGGATGTTGTGCTCAAGTTTATTGCGTAGGACTTGAACCCACAAATTGCTAGCTCACAGAGGAGTGCTATCAACAAACGGACACAGCTGACGCTCTCGTAGATAAGTTTCGCTCGGTATGTTGCAACATTCAAGCAGCACCTCATTTTGGCCTGGTTTATGTTATCTTGTGTTAGAGGTTTCAAAAGACATTCTCCTCCTTCTTTGTGGGATATGGGCACTTGTGGCCAGGCCAGCATTCGATGCCTGTCTCTAATTACCCTCAAACTGAGTGGTTCTCACAGCCCTTTCAGAGCATAGTCAATCACATTGCTGTGGGACTGAAGTCATGTGCAGGCCAGGCCGAGTAAGAACAGCAGATTTCCTTCCCCAAAATGACATCCGTGATCCAAATGGGCTTCTACCAAAAAATTGATGGCAGCCATCAATATCACAGATTAGGTTTCTGTTCCAGGATTTTCTGGTCATTGAATTTGAATTCCTGTAGCCGCCAAGGTGGGATTTGAAGCTGTGTCTCAGGAGCACTAGCCAGGCCTCCACTGAATACCACAGCTCCGCCATCTTCCCTGTTGCTTCCACTTGCTGTGCCTGCCTGTCTGGGGTGAAAGCGACATTCGTTGCCAGTTCCCTGAGCTTTCCTCCCTCTCCATTGCACTGGGGTGGCTGGTAGTTGGGGGTTGGGGGAAGGGAGGGGGTCGCTGTGGGGAATTGGGGCTTGGGGGTGGGCAGGACATGCATGGCGCCTTCCTTCCTTCACCCGCTCCCTCCAGCGCAAGGACTGGATTTTACACGATGGTGCGGGAGATGGGTCTGCATTCCTCAGGCGTGTCCTTTAGCTCCCCCGGTGGGCTTAGCGGGAGGGCCACTTCCTGCCTGTTAAAGACCACCTGCTCGTAGGGAGGGGCCTGGTCCAGGGGCACGGAGCTCGAAGAGATCGACATAACCATCTGCTGGGATTCGGAGGGGAGGCTTGGGACATGAGGGGGATCCCCCGGTCCCTGGGATCTGGCCTCATCCTCAGGGGGCTCCCTGTGAGTGGAGTCATTCCTCTGGCGTGGGTCAGTCAGGGAGTATGGTGGAGGGTCTTCCTCTGGGAGGTAGAGATCAGGAGCACGGTGACCCACACAGTCCTCGTAGCTGGTGAAAAGAAGGAAAAGGAAGAGCCCAAGACTTGAGAACAAGGCCAAGATATAGAAATACAAAGATATTTCCAGATGACTAATTGTCCAAACTCAAATTAATATCCAACCCAACTTCCACCCTCTGTGCTTTTGAACCAGTTAATAACGCCACTATTAGTTTTCAAACTGACACAAAGTCCTGTTCACCATTGACCCCCCCCCCACCCACCCCCTCTCAGTGATCCCCAAAGGCTCCTGGTCCCACTTTTATCCATGTTTGTAATTCCCTCCACTGTCTCACCCATTGCATGCTGTTGAACAATGCACCCATGGAGTAACATTGGGCCATTAGGCTAGGTTAAAAGGCTCCATATAAATGCACAATGGTGGAGTTGATAGCTCAATAAGTCCTGTTTGAGGCACACTGACCATCATCAGGTAGACAAACAGAGCAGCCAGACTCTCACACAGCAAAACAGGAAAAGGCCATTCAACCACTCCAACCATTGATTCTGATCATTGGATAATGATGTCTAAGGTCCATCCAAATCTCCTCCTGCCGTCTGATCATGCAGCATGGAAACAGACCCTTCGGTCCAACTCATCCATGCTGACTAGATATCCTAAACTGATCTAGTCCCATTTGCCAGCATTTGGCCCATATCCCTCTAAACCCTTCCTATTCATATACCCATCCAGACGCCTTTTAAATGTTGTAATTGTACCAGCCTCCACCACTTCCTCTGATAGCTCATTCCATACACGTACCACCCTCTGTGTAAAAATGTTGCCCCTCAGGTCCCCTTTAAATCTTTGCCCACTCATCTTAAATGTATGTCCTTTAGTTTTGGACTCCTCTACCCTGGGAAAAATACCCTATCCATGCCCCTCATGATTTTATAAACTCAATAACGTCACTGTGTGTATGTGAATCAGAATGCACCTCAGGCCCACTGTCTATCCTCTGGCCACGTCTGTCTCTTTGTTACTCACAATCCCTTTGTTTCCTGTAATTCCCACTGGAATTCCTACACTGTCCCGCCAAACATTCATCAGAGCTGGTACAGCACAGGGTTACATACACTGTAGAAGTGCCTTTACTCTTTTAAAATGAAGGTAAACTGAAAGTTAAGTTTCCTCTACACTGTCCCCATCAAACACTCACCAGGCCAGGGACAGCATATGTTAGATACAGAGTAAAGCTGACTCTACACTGACCTCATCAAACACTCCCAGAACATGGACAGTCTGGGGCAACATTCAGAGTAAAGCTCCCTCAACACTGTCCCCATCAAACACTCCCAGGACAGGGACAGCACAGGGTTAGATACAGAGTAAAGCTACCTCTACACTGTCCCCATCAAATACTCCCAGGACAGGGACAGCATGGGGCTACATTCAGAATAAAGTCTCCTCTCCACTGTTTCCATCTAATAGTCCCAGGACAGGGACAGCACGGGGTTAGATACAGAATAGAGCTACCTCTACTCTTTTAAACTGGAAGTAAAGCCACCTTGACAGTATTTCCATCAACCATTCCCATGGCAAGTACAGCAAGGGGTTATATATAGAGTAAAACTTTGGGTGTTGATGTTCAGTGTAAACACTAGGATGCTGATATTTTAATGATAGAGAGTGATTAACTCCTGGTTTATAACCTGTTATTAAGCAGTGAATCATGAGACACACAGATTTCCATGAAGATTAATTGGATCTTGCAGCATTATGAATTATGTGACTGAAATTCAATTAAAATCTCAACCAGAAATCAGAGGCCAGGATCCTCTTACCCCTCATTGCTCAGATAAGTGTGCTCTCACTCGGAACCTGTTCACTTGGTCCACTCTCTGTGATCGTCAGTTTCTGTGCAAAGGACAATGAGGCTAAGGTGAACTGTCTTCTCTGTTGTTAATTCGCATTTTACTCCAAGTCCTGTCCTATTTTAAAGAACATTCCTCAACAGAACGTGGCCGCTGCCAGGAAGCTGAGAATGGTGGGGGGAGATAAATCCCTTGCCTGACTCCACCCTCGGGCGACTGTCTGTATGGAGTTTGCACATTCTCCCCGTGTCTGAGTGGGTTTCCTCCCACAGTCCAAAGATGTGCAGGTTAGGGTGGATTGGCCATGGGAAATGCAGGGTTATGGTGGGGTGGGTCTGGGTGGAATGCTCTTTGGAGAGTCTGTGTGGTCACGTTAGGCCAAATGGCTTGCTTCCACACTGCAGGGGTTCTTTGATTCCATGCATTGCCCTGTTAACATGTTTCCATTCGGTCTATATGTGATGGATACACAATAGCCCTGTGCTCACCTATCTAGGGAATATCTGTTTAGGATGATGGTTTTTTTTGGTATGTAGAAGTGCATGTCAGTTATTTCAATAAAAAAACTTTTATTGCTAATTTATCTGTATTGTACCAATTTAAATTCTGTGGTCTGGCAGATTAATGCTTTCCTTGCATATTGTAGCTTAAAGTTTAACGGAGGGCTTGTACTTATTGAGGATACCGATGAATTATTCTCATGTTGCTTCTATGGGAGTTCAAATGGCCCATATGTCAAAACAAATACAGAAGATACAGAACAAATACCTTGAGAACACATCACCTCATAAATGGGTTAGTGAGAAATACAAAGGAGCCCCTGGAAACCAAAACGTAGACCCTGAAAACCAAATAGTAGCCCGCAAGAAAATCTCAAGAAACCCCTTGGAAAAAAACTTCACCACCTAGTTGGCCTCTCCTAGCTCACTCAAGTGTCCCACTTTAATTACTCACATCAGGTCGATGCTCAGAGGAAGCACGGGAAGGAAGAATTGCATTCATGTAGCACCTATCGCAATTTCCTAAAGTCTTTTCAACATTTGAAGAACTCTTGAAGTGAAATTATGGTTGTAATGTATAAAATGCAGGAATCAATTACTGCAGTGTGTAACTCACCTCCTGACTCCCTAAAGCCTGTCCACTATCTACAAGGCACAAGTCAGGAGTGTGATGGAATACTCCCCACTTGCCTGGAGGGGTGCAGCTCCAACAACACTTGAGAAGCTTGACACCATCCAGGATAAAGCCACCCGCTTGATTAGCACCACATCCACAAACATCCACTCTCTCCACCACCGACACTCAGTAGCAGCAGTGTGTACTATCTACAAGATGCACTGCAGAAATTCACCAAAGATCCTCAGACAGCACCTTCCAAACCCATGACCACTTCCATCTAGAAGGACAAGGGTGGAAGATACATGGGAACACCACCCCCTGCAAGATCCCCTCCAAGCCACTCACCGTCCTGACTTGGAAATATATCACCGTTCCTTCTGTGTCACTGGGTCAAAATCCAGGAATTCCCTCCCTAAGGGCATCGTGGCTGGACTGCAACGGTTCAAGGAGGGAGTTCACCACCTTCTCAAGGACAACTAGAGATGCGTAATAAATACTGGCCCAGCCAGCGATACATTCATCCTGTAGTGTTGGTTGTGAGATTGTTTGGGATAATAAACACTGCCATATTAATGGCAGGTCTTTCTCCATTTAAATTAATATCACACACAATAAAAGACTATCTGGTCGCTCTCACTTTGCTGTTTATGGGAGTTGTCGAGTTTCTGACATTGTAACAATGACTACACTCAAAGACGTCCTTCATGGGCTGCGAAGCACTTTGAAACATCAACAATTCATGAAAGGTGCTTTCAGAATGTTAACAATCTTCCTTCCTGTCAAAGTAGTGAAGCCATTAGGAACAGACCTTTCCCTCTGGCTGAGGAATAGAAAGCAAAATGGCCATTGAAGCTTTCAGGATTGCTTAAGTGCAGCCATGAATAATTTAAAGGCAGTGTGACTCAGTGAGAATTGTACCTATTAGGGTGATTGATGGGACTGCTTGCTTGGCAGGCTACCTGGAATAAAAGGGCAAAGGGCTGTACTGAGAAACACACAGAAACCTTAATGTACACAAACATGCCCAGAGTTAAAGGCCTCTGTCCAAGAAAGTCCACATTTTGCTTGTCAGTCATTTAATAAACTCCCTGGCTCCATCTCCAGCGTTTCCTTTTACTTAATCTGATTATTAGAAAGTAAATTGCATTGCATGTTGGTAATGCAGCAAGCAGGGAAGACTGAAATAGATTATAAAATGATGGAGAGCGTCCAAGGGGCTCCATTTGTTCTCATTGGAAATGATGATTAATGGCTAGAAATGAGATACTTTGAGTGCGCTCAACAGTGCACTGTCTGCTCTTTTGTCTTTCAGGGCAATATGAGGTTTCATTATATGGACATCTTTTTTGGGAGTGGGGTGTATTTTTCTCACTGAAGTCCAAAGCAAAAGCTCAGCATAGTGGGGCTGAGAGATTTCAGGTAGAGATGTAGAAACAAGTGACTGATTTATTATTGCACAATGACTGATAAATTACTGTCTCTCATCAGCTACCCCTTTACAGAACAACAGCCGACTCCCCATTGACTGGTTTATTGAAGGGGGCAAACCATTTCTTTAGCTGTTTTGAAGTCTAATGCATTAAATCAGGACTCACTGTTATAAAGACCCCTCACTGACACCTATGTATCCTAGCCCATTTCTGCCACTGCCTCAGCTCATCCCCTGCTGAAACTCTCAGCTGGGGGATTACGGCCGAGTCTGCAGGGAGCAGTTGGAGGGAGGAGCAGCAGCACAGTGTGAGTATAAAACTAACTGAGCTCGGGGATCATGGCCTAGTCTGTAGGGTGCAGTTGGAGGGAGGAGCAGCAGCACAGAGTGAGTATAAAACTAACTGAGCTCAGGGCACATTGTAGCTGTGAAAAAAGCTGGATTGATGTCATAGGGAAGCTGTGACCTGATCTGCTGGTAGGAAATCTGCAATAAATTCGAAAAAATCACAGCAAAGAAGTATTAACAAATTAATTAACTCAATAATAAAATATTTGTAATTAATAAAGTAATTAACGAAGTAGAAATGGCTGGACAGGTGATGTGTTGTAGCAATATGGTGTGGGAGCTGGGTGATCCCATTGCGAA